GACCTCCAGTAGGACCAGTGTAGGGAGAAGGAGCAGGTAGAGGGGAGGCGGGCTGTAACTGTGACTGTGACTGGACAGGCTGTGGACACTCTAAGGAAGGAGAAGGACCAGGAGAGGGCTGGAGACCAAGAACCTGCTCCAGGAGCGGAACGAAGTACGGCCTCGGCCGCTCAGCGCCTCCAGAACTAGTAAGGACGGCACCAGTACCCCCAGCGGAAGCAGCACCTCCAGCTCCACCAGCGCCAACTCCAGCACCCTCAGAAGCACCAGCGCCATCAGCACCTCCAGCGCCAACACCCTTAGCAGCTCCAGCTCCAGCAGCACCAACTCCAGTAGGACGGTCAGCTCCAGCAGCCTCAACAGCACCCCCAGACGCACCAGCACCAGTAGAAACACCAGCGCCAACACCCCCCGCTGCTCCAGCTCTAGCAGCACTAGTACCGCTAGCAGCTCTAGCAGGACCAACTCCATTAGCTCCAGCAGCACCCCCAGTCTCAGCAGCACGTCTCCAGCAGCAGGCAAACCATTCGCGCAACTCCTGTGGAGAGAGTGGCTCCCGCCTCGACGAAGCACCGCCGGCGGCCACACGAGCAGACCCAGCGCCCTTAGGCTCGGCACCCCCAGGCTCCGCACCTCCAGGCTCCGCACCCGCAGACCCGGCACCCCCAGGCTCAGCACCCCAAGACTCAGCACCCCCAGTCTGTGCACCCCCAGTCTCAGCACCCCCAGCCTCAGCACCTCTAGCAGTACCAGAGTCAACAGCTACCTCGACAGGCTCGACTGCGTCTACCTGGGACACACCTGACTGGGCAGGACCCTAAGGGGGGAGGGGGTCTACCAGGGGAGGACCTGGTGCAAGGAAGAGCGGCGGTGGGGGGAGAGGCGCAGTGCGGTAGGGGAAGAGACGGTAGTAAGGCACTGACTCATCAAAGGTGACGTCCTGGGAGGACAGAACACGGCGCGTGGTGGGGTGGTAAAAATGCCAGCCAGGCGCGTCGGGGGGGAAGCCAAGGAAGACGCAAGGAACAGCACGGGGGGACAGCCCATCCGCAGACAAGTCGCGGACAAACGCCCGAGATCCCCAGACCCGAAACGCAGACGCATCGCCAACCTTCCCTGTCCACCGCAAGGTGGGGGAGGTCTGTGGCAAGGAGACCCGGGGCTGCAGGTTGAGCTGATGCGCGGCGTACTGAATTGCAAACGGCCACAGAAAATGGGGGGCAGCCGCATGCATCATGGACGTACGAGCGACGTCGATGACCATGCCAATGCGGCGCTCAGCGATCCCATTTTGCTATGGAGAGGCTGGAAGCGTGAAGGTCTGGCGGATGCCCTGTGCACGAAAGAAATCTCCCAGACGGGTAGAGGAAAACTCCCCGCCTCTGTCCGAGTGTAGACGCAGAACAGGAAAGTCCGAGCCGAAACTCTCTCTGAGCTGGAGACGAGTTGCGCGGATCTAGTCGATCAACACCTCAGTGACGTCACCCTTGCTGCGCAAGGGGAAGACTGTGGTGTAACGCGAGTAGTCGTCAACCACCAGCAGGAAGTTCCGCTCGCGCCCCTGCCCACTGACGCGGGCTGGGCCCCACACGTCCATGTGGAGAGTCTGCAGCGGAGCCTCTGTCGGAGGAAACTCGGAGGAGTGAGGGGCGGCGCGCTGTCGCCCCTCGACGCAGGGGACGCAGGAAGGGCCAGGCCCCGGAGTCAATGGTGAAGGTGTGGAAGGCCTGAGCCAACGTAGTGCCTGAGAGAGCAGACTCACCAGCACCTGGGGCACCAGACGCACTGGCACCTGGGGTAGCACACGCACTAGCACCTAGAACAGCAGCCTCACCAGCACCTAGAGCAGCAGCCTCAATGCCCGGGTCTGGCGGAACACACAGGTAATAGTCACCCTCATCACTAGTAGGCAATGCATGCATGGCACTGAGGATAGCATCTTAGTCAAGAGAATAGATATCGACCCGCATCCGAAGCAGCTCCACCCAGTCGGGGAGCTCAACCGCGTCGCCAAACTCCGTACGCCAGGCGTGGCTTAGACGTGCGAAGCAGAAGGACGGTGCGTGACCGAACGTCCCGCTAGGCTGACCAGTCTGAGCACTAGTGCGAATGACGTACGGACAGTGAGCAGTACCCCGTGTCCCGTCACGCTGCGCGTACCACTCACGAAGCTGCTGGGGCGAGAGGACCACTCGTTGACAACGCTGAGGCTGCACCTGGTCACTACAAGTAGCTGCCAAACCACTCACTCCAGGACGACTCCGACTACGGCCACCTCGACAACCCCAACTAGCGTACCACTCACGAAGTTGTTGGGGGGTGAGGGACTCACGTGGGCGACGTTGGAGCTGCATCTGGCCACGCCAGGAGCAGCAGTATCAGTAGAGAGAGCAGCAGTAGTAAGTGCAGCAGTAAGAGCAGTACGGGCAGGGCAGTGCTCACCAGTGGCGAGAAGGGCAGGCGGACGACGACGGCAACGGCAACGCCACTACCACTGTAGAGCAAGAGCTCCGTGGCTGCTGCAGTGGCGGCTGCTCCAGGGGCAGCTGCTGCAGTGGCGGCTGCTCCAGGGGCGGCTACTGCAGTGGAGGCTGCTCGAGGGGCGGCTGCTGCAGTGGTGGCTGCTCCAGGGGCGGTTGCTGCAGTGGCGGCTGCTCTAGGGGCGGCTGCTGCAGTGGCGGCTGCTCCAGGGGCGGCTGCTGCAGTGGCGGCTGCTCTTGGGGCGGCTACAGCAGCGAATGCCGCTCCAGGGGCGGCTGCTGCAGTGGCGGCTGCTCCAGGGGCGGCTGCAGGAGTGAATGCTGCTCCAGGGGCGGCTGCTGCAGTGGCGGCTGCTCCAGGGGCGGCTGCTGCAGCTGGGCGGCTCGGCTCCCCGCCAGGGGCGGCGACGGGGCCAGGAAGGGGCAGCGACGGGGCCGCTAGGGGTGGCGACGGGGCCGCGTATGAAGAGGAGCAGCGACGGGGCCGCTAGGGGCGGCGACGTGGCCGCGTAGGGGCGGCGACGGGGCCGCTAAGGGCGGCCGCTGGACCGCGTAGGGGCGGCGACGGGGCCGCGTAGGGAAGAGAGCGGCGACGGGGCCGCTAGGGGCGGCGACGAGGCCGCGTAGGGGCGGCGACGAGGCCGCTTGGGGCGGCGACGGGTCCGCGTAGGGGTGGCGACGGGGCCGCGTAGGGGCGGCGACGGGGCCGCGTAGGGAAGGGAGCGGCGACGGGGCCGTGTGGGGCGGCGATGGGGCCGCGTAGGGGCGGCGACGAGGCCGCTAGGGGCGGCGATTGGGCCGCCAGGGGCAGCGCAGAGGCCGCGTAGGGGCGGCATCGGGGCCGCTAGGGGCCGCAAGGGGCCTAGAAGGGCGGCAACGGGGCCGTGTTGGGCCGGCAACGGGGCCGCTAGGGGCCGCGAGAGGCCTGGAAGGGCGGCAACGGGGCCGCGTAGGGGCGGCAACGGGGCCGCGTAGGGGCGGCAACGGGGCTGCTAGGGGCCGCGAGGGGCCTGGAAGGGCGGCAACGGAGCCGTGTAGGGGCGGCAACGGGGCCGCGAGGGGCCTGGAAGGGCGGCAAAGGGGCCGCGTAGGGGCCTGGAAGGGCAGCGACGAGGCCGCTACGGGCGGCGCGAGGGGCCTCTACGAGAGCTCGACAGAAGGGCGGCCCACAAGGCGCGCCTCGGGCAGGAGCGACTGGCGTTCCGGTCAGAAAAAGTTTCCAGTGGTGGGCCCAAGGAATCCTTCCCACTAGGGAACCTGCTCTGATACCATGTGAAGATTAGAACGTGAGGAATGATTGAACTATGAAACAATTGGGTATAAGTACTAACCCTAATTGGGTTGTTCCCTTTATGGGCTACCCCACTACAGCCTACACAAAAGTATAAGCTATAATGTTCTGACACCTACTTGCTTCATCCATGACGGGTGACTCCTAGTGTGTTTCACTTCGCGCCTGGCGTAGTTCGGCGTTTTCCACCCTCAGGCGCTCCAGCTCGCCATACTTAGTCTACATGCTGGATTGCGTCGCCCGAGTTCTGCATAAATGCGTCAAACTCTGCTTGATTCATGTTTTGGAGACTCATCCTAACGGGTAGTGGGTTAACTGCGATTTTTCTGACTTTGATGAAGACGCAAATGCTATTAGTCGGAGTGAGATTATCTTACGGTATCTATCTCTCAGCCGACGCTTTGCAGCCCACCAAGTCTATTGCACCCCTGCACTAAACTACCCCGGAAAGTGGAGGGTAACCTAGGAAAGTAGCTCTGATACCAAGTGTCATGAGTTGTATGAAAGAAGAGTGCGCATAATGCAATAGCGCATGATTCCAACTACTAAGAAAACAACGAGGCCTAGGCATAATGTAGCAAGGCTAGCTAGGTCGAAGTCGCGGAGTCGCGCGATGGTTGGGTGCAGGTCTGGGGTTGGGAAACCCGAAGGCGACCCGAGGGACGTTTGGAAGGCGAGGTCGTGGGACCGAGCCTGAACTCCGAAAAGTTGGAATTGTACGCGCACGGAGTGCCTCAATAAGGAATTAAGAAAATTCCTTACACTAGTGGATCGCTGTTTCAGGCTGAAGTCAAGTCTGTAACGCGTGAAGCAGTCACGAATGTCGTTTGCCGCGCTGCACGTTCCTCTTGTAATATTCACCTACCTGGGCGAAAATATCAGTAACCAATTTCCAGGCACCCTTGCCGTGGCGAAAGCAATTCAACCAACTTTTCGTGCAAAGCAAACGCATTCGACAACATACCTCACCTGAAGACTTGAGGTCGCTCTCTCTGGTGTATTTGCTGTGGTGCGAGAGTAGAAAAACTCGTGCTGTAGTCGAAGCAAAGGCGATGCATTTGTCCAATGAACGAATTTCCTCTCACCGCTTGCAACCCTACACCTTCTTAGTGAGCACTGTTGGCCTTCGCCCGTGTCCTGATAGAATCATGCGGCTTCAGATTCCTCCCCGCCGCACCGTCGTGCGTCGATAACGCGAATCCCTTCACATCATCCCCAGATTCCAACGGATGGGGTTCGCCGGAGTGGCGTTTCAGCCGCGCGCGGCGGCGCTGGCGGAGCTGCAGCACTGCCCGCAGTTCCACGACGCCATCCTGACGCTCCCCGACGCCGCCATGTTCTCCGCGCCCGCATGCCTCCTCTACGCGCGCAGCAAGTGGTTCCGCCGCGCGTGGGAGGACGCGCCGGGGAGCGGCTTTGGGAAATGCGTGGAGATCACGATTCCGCCTGTACCTGGGGGAACGGAGGCGTTCGAGAGCATTCTACAGTACTGTTACGGGCTGCCTGTTAACGCGGATGCTACTAACGCGTTGCAGCTGCTGTGCTGCGCAGCGTTCTTCGAGATGTGTGAGGGGAGCGAGGAGGATTCGTTGCAGCGACAGGCGTGGAGGTACATTAACGAGTATGTTCTTAACGAGTGGGAGGACAGCCTGCGGCTGCTGGAGACAGTAGCGAGGGACGAGCTTGTAATGAGGGAGGCTCTGAAGCTCGACCTCCCGCTGCACGCGTCAGCATGTGTGGCAGGCACGTGCGCCGTCCCATCCACCCTCACCCGCCCGCCTGCTCACTCCATTCGTTTCCCCCACCACCCCTCTCGCCCTCCCCTTCCCGCCTTTCCCCCCCCCTCCCCCCCCTTCCTCCTCGTCGTCTGTGCTTTAACCCCTTCATCTTTTCATACAGTGAGCGCCCTTCCAACGCTCCGCAACCGCCCCCTGCTTGCTCTCATCGCCTGCCTGCCACCCCATCACCACGTCATACCTGTCCGCTCGCATGGTCGTGCTTATGTCTCCCCTACACCACCCCCACACCACCCCTGCACCACCCCCGCGCCACCCCACCACACCACTGGCCCACGAGCAGACCATCTGAGCGCCATGCTGTCGGGTCCCTTCGACAGCCCCACGCGCATGGCGGCGCTGCACCACCTGCTGGCGCGCCTCGCCGCCCTGCCCGCGCCCGTGCTGTCATGCGTGCTGCAGGCGTGCCAGCAGGCGGGTGTGAGCTTCGTGCGCATCGGCAACTACCTCGCTGCCCACTCCCACTCCTGCCTCTTCCAACACATCCCCTCCCTCGCTGCCGCTGCCGCTGCCACCTCTGCTGCTGCTGCTGCTGCTGCTGGTTGGGATGGCGATGTTGCAGGAGAAAAAGAGGCAGCAGCAGCAGGAGCAGCAGGAGCAGCAGGGGCAGGGGCAGGGGCAGGGGCAGGGGCAGGGGCAGGGGCAGGGGCAGGGGCAGGAGGTGGCGAAGAAGCTTCATCCGTTGGTCTTTCAAGCAGTGGTGGTGCAGAAAGGAGGGTGGCGAGCGGAGGGGGAGGGGGATACAAGGTGGTGTGTGGGGAGGAGGCGGCAGAGGAGGCAGAGGAGAGGGAGGAGGTGGGGCGGGCGATGCTGTTTGAGTATGCGTGCAGTGAGGCGCTAGAGCACGCTGCGGCGATGCAGGAGCTGCACCACCGTCCGCCAGCAGCAGCAGCAGCAGCAGCAGTGGGTGGGGGAAGAGGAGGTGTGGGCGGAGAAGGTGACGCCTCTGCCCCGTTCCCTTCAGCTGCATCGGCGTCTGCAGCGGCAGCGCAGCAGCAGCAGGCGTTGAGGCGGCAGCAGCAGGGGGGGCTGAGGTCCAGCACGCGCTACATGCCATCGGTGCAGTACCTGATCGTGCTGCTCAAGCACTGTGTCACTCTACAGGAAGGTCTCGCACTCACGGATGCTCACGGGCAGGGGCAGGGCGGTCAAGTGGGCGGTGTTGGTAAGACGAGAAGCTCAGCCTCGTTACAAGGGGACTCGATACAAGGAAATGAAGGGCCAAGACATCCGGTGAACAGCAGGGGGGTTCAAAGGGCATCGTTGGTGCAGCGGGTGGGAGGCAGGGGCGTGAGGGGGGGTGCGGGCGCGGTGGCCACGGGGCTGAGGGAAACCAAGAGCGACAGCGACGTGGCCTCCAGTGAGCGGGCGAGTGCGAGCAGGAAGGGCGAGGGCATGGGGGAGAGCGTGCGGGTGGGCGTGGGGCGGCGCAAGGAGCTGCTGTTCACACGGCTGGCACACCGCCTGACGGCCATGCCCACAGCGCTGTCCCTGGCGGACCTCGTCTTCCTGGGCCCCGCCACCAGCCTGCTGCTCCTCCACTCCCTCCGCGACGCCTCCCTCTCCCATGCCAACCACCCCTCCATCCCACCCCTGCCCCCCCATGCTGGAGGCCCCCTGCCCCCGCTGCCATCGCAACCACAGCCAGCGCCCACCGCCAGCACCGTTAATGGCACTAGCACCAGCATCACCAGCAGCAGCAGCAGCAGCCGGCGTATGGCGGTGCGGGTGGTGGGGTCCCCTGCAGCAGCGCTGGGCGGCGATCTGGTGTGCGACTACGTGCACTACCTGGCAGCGCGCATGACGCACCAATCACAGCACCACACGTGGCTGCCCTTCCTGCGCCTGTGCCCCGCGTGGCCGGGCCTGTCGAGCTTTCTGATCGACCTCATCGCGCTGCTCAACCTGCTCTTCCCCGACGCCCGCCACCTCCCCCCCGTGCCCGAGCTGTGGAGCATGGTGGACGTCAGCGCGCTGTCCGACGACAAGCTCGCCCTCGCCGGGAAGATGTGCTGCGAGGGGGAGGGTCAGGGCGGAGATGCGGGAGGGGATGGTGGGGAGAGGGGTGGCAGCTGGGGAGGGGGGTGGGGTGGGAGAGGGAGGGAGCAAGGGAGGGGGTGGTGGAGCGAGGGGAGGGTGTTGGCGCAGCAGGTGGAGAGGGAGCAGCGGGCAAGGGGTGTGAGGGCCGAGGGGGAGAGGGGGCGGGAGGAGGAGAGGGGGAAAGAAGGGGGGATGCGGGGGGAGGTGGAGAGGGAGCGGCGGGGGCGGCAGGAGAGGGCGCTGCAGCAGGCGGCGTTGGAGGTGGAGAGTGTGCGCGCCGCCAGCACCCGCCTCGCCCTGGAGACCGCGCAGGTGAGGTCCGGGGCTGGGTGAGTGAGTGAGTGGTGCAGTCGATGCTGGTGTGGCCAAGGCACATGTGCTGTCATCTGCCCAACCCTGTGCCATGCCCGGCATTGGCCTGACCCATGCCCGGCGTTGGCCTGACCCATGCCCGGCGTTGGCCTGACCCATGCCCGGCGTTGGCCTGACCCATGCCCGGCGTTGGCCTGACCCATGCCCGGCGTTGGCCTGACCCATGCCCGGCGTTGGCCTGACCCATGCCCGGCGTTGGCCTGACCCATGCCCGGCATTGGCCTGACCCATGCCCGGCGTTGGCCTGACCCATGCCCGGCGTTGGCCTGACTCATGCCCGGCGTTGCGCTGTTGGCCTGACCCATGCCCGGCGTTGGCCTGACCCATGCCCGGCGTTGGCCTGACCCATGCCCGGCGTTGGCCTGACCCATGCCCGGCGTTGGCCTGACCCATGCCCGGCGTTGGCCTGACCCATGCCCGGCGTTGGCCTGACCCATGCCCGGCGTTGGCCTGACCCATGCCCGGCGTTGGCCTGACCCATGCCCGGCGTTGGCCTGACCCATGCCGGCGTTGGCCTGACCCATGCCCGGCGTTGGCCTGACCCATGCCCGGCGTTGGCCTGACCCATGCCCGGCGTTGGCCTGACCCATGCCCGGCGTTGGCCTGACCCATGCCTGGCATTGGCCTGACCCATGCCCGGCGTTGCGCTGTTGGCCTGACCCATGCCCGGCGTTGGCCTGACCCATGCCCGGCGTTGGCCTGACCCATGCCCGGCGTTGGCCTGACCCATGCCCGGCGTTGGCCTGACCCATGCCCGGCGTTGGCCTGACCCATGCCCGGCGTTGGCCTGACCCATGCCCGGCGTTGGCCTGACCCATGCCCGGCGTTGGCCTGACCCATGCCCGGCGTTGGCCTGACCCATGCCCGGCGTTGGCCTGACCCATGCCCGGCGTTGGCCTGACCCATGCCTGGCATTGGCCTGACCCATGCCCGGCGTTGCGCCTGACCCATGCCCGGCGTTGGCCTGACCCATGCCCGGCGTTGGCCTGACCCATGCCCGGCGTTGGCCTGACCCATGCCCGGCGTTGGCCTGACCCATGCCCGGCGTTGGCCTGACCCATGCCCGGCATTGGCCTGAACCATGCCCGGCATTGGCCTGACCCATGCCCGGCGTTGGCCTGACCCATGCCCGGCGTTGGCCTGACCCATGCCCGGCGTTGGCCTGACCCATGCCCGGCGTTGGCCTGACCCATGCCCGGCGTTGGCCTGACCCATGCCCGGCGTTGGCCTGACCCATGCCCGGCGTTGGCCTGACCCATGCCCGGCGTTGGCCTGACCCATGCCTGGCATTGGCCTGACCCATGCCCGGCGTTGCGCTGTTGGCCTGACCCATGCCCGGCGTTGGCCTGACCCATGCCCGGCGTTGGCCTGACCCATGCCCGGCGTTGGCCTGACCCATGCCCGGCGTTGGCCTGACCCATGCCCGGCGTTGGCCTGACCCATGCCCGGCGTTGGCCTGACCCATGCCCGGCGTTGGCCTGACCCATGCCCGGCGTTGGCCTGACCCATGCCCGGCGTTGGCCTGACCCATGCCCGGCGTTGGCCTGACCCATGCCTGGCATTGGCCTGACCCATGCCCGGCGTTGCGCTGTTGGCCTGACCCATGCCCGGCGTTGGCCTGACCCATGCCCGGCGTTGGCCTGACCCATGCCCGGCGTTGGCCTGACCCATGCCCGGCATTGGCCTGACCCATGCCCGGCATTGGCCTGACCCATGCCCGGCGTTGGCCTGACCCATGCCCGGCGTTGGCCTGACCCATGCCCGGCGTTGGCCTGACCCATGCCCGGCGTTGGCCTGACCCATGCCCGGCGTTGGCCTGACCCATGCCCGGCGTTGGCCTGACCCATGCCCGGCGTTGGCCTGACCCATGCCCGGCGTTGGCCTGACCCATGCCTGGCATTGGCCTGACCCATGCCCGGCGTTGCGCTGTTGCCTGACCCATGCCCGGCGTTGGCCTGACCCATGCCCGGCGTTGGCCTGACCCATGCCCGGCGTTGGCCTGACCCATGCCCGGCGTTGGCCTGACCCATGCCCGGCGTTGGCCTGACCCATGCCCGGCATTGGCCTGACCCATGCCCGGCGTTGGCCTGACCCATGCCCGGCGTTGGCCTGACCCATGCCCGGCGTTGGCCTGACCCATGCCCGGCGTTGGCCTGACCCATGCCCGGCGTTGGCCTGACCCATGCCCGGCATTCGCCTGACACATGCCCGGCGTTGGCCTGACCCATGCCCGGCGTTGGCCTGACCCATGCCAGGCATTGGCCTGACCCATGCCCGGCGTTGGCCTGACCCATGCCCGGCGTTGGCCTGACCCATGCCAGGCATTGGCCTGACCCATGCCCGGCATTGGCCTGACCCATGCCCGGCGTTGGCCTGACCCATGCCCGGCGTTGGCCTGACCCATGCCCGGCGTTGGCCTGACCCATGCCCGGCATTGGCCTGACCCATGCCCGGCATGGGCCTGACCCATGCCCGGCGTTGGCCTGACCCATGCCCGGCGTTGGCCTGACCCATGCCCGGCGTTGGCCTGACCCATGCCCGGCGTTGGCCTGACCCATGCCCGGCGTTGGCCTGACCCATGCCCGGCGTTGGCCTGACCCATGCCCGGCGTTGGCCTGACCCATGCCCTGCGTTGGCCTGACCCATGCCTGGCATTGGCCTGACCCATGCCCGGCGTTGCGCTGTTGGCCTGACCCATGCCCGGCGTTGGCCTGACCCATGCCCGGCGTTGGCCTGACCCATGCCCGGCGTTGGCCTGACCCATGCCCGGCATTGGCCTGACCCATGCCCGGCGTTGGCCTGACCCATGCCCGGCATTGGCCTGACCCATGCCCGGCGTTGGCCTGACCCATGCCCGGCGTTGGCCTGACCCATGCCCGGCGTTGGCCTGACCCATGCCCGGCGTTGGCCTGACCCATGCCCGGCGTTGGCCTGACCCATGCCCGGCATTCGCTTGACACATGCCCGGCGTTGGCCTGACCCATGCCCGGCGTTGGCCTGACCCATGCCAGGCATTGGCCTGACCCATGCCCGGCGTTGGCCTGACCCATGCCCGGCGTTGGCCTGACCCATGCCAGGCATTGGCCTGACCCATGCCCGGCATTGGCCTGACCCATGCCCGGCGTTGGCCTGACCCATGCCCGGCATTGGCCTGACCCATGCCTGGCATTGGCCTTACCCATGCCTGGCATTGGCCTGACCCATGCCGCGGGGACATTTTCCACCATTTGGGCGCCGACCCGCCATCACACCTCATGACTGCCCCCAGGGCATGCCATTGCACCCCATGCTTTGGGGAGCCCTTCACATTGGGCCTGGAGTGGTCCCCCATGTTAATTCCTACCTACCACCCCCCGTTCCTCCCCCATGTGACCCCACGCACACAGCATGGCATGGCATGGCATGCATCCCATGCCGCTGGGGGACGGTCCACCAGTGCAGGTGGACCTGGATGTCACTTTCACCTCACCCTTTTAAACCCTCTCGCTTCTCGCTTCCGCGCTCCCTCCACTCACCTCCCCACAGGGCATGGCATCGCACCCGTGCCCCTGGGAGGCATTCCAGCAGCGCAGCATGCGGATATGATGGTGGACGCATGCAGGAGTGGAACCGGCATCTCACCTCTACCTACCCACAACCTGCCCTTCTCCCATCCACGTGATCCCAGGGCAGGGCGTCGGACGCGTGTCCATGGGAGACGCTACAGCAGCGCGGGCTGGAGGCCGACATGGTGGTGGACATCGATGGGGTCACATGGCCGCTGCACCGCCACGTGCTCCTCCCGCACTGCCCCCTCATCCACTCCCTCCTCCCCGCCGCCACCGCTGCTGCCAGCGCCAGCGCGTGTGAGGGGGAGCAGGGCGTGATGCCGCTGGCGCTGGCCACGGGGCTGCCCATCGTGGCGCTCACCGGCTTCCCCGGGGGTCCGCGCTCCTTCTCCATCATCGCCCGCTGGTGCTACGGCTCGCGCCCCAACCTCTCGCCCAGCCAGGCCGCTGCTGTGCTCTTCGCTGCTCGCTTCCTCGGTGTGTGCCACCCTCTCGGTATCTTGATGATTTTTTATTTAGCATATATATATATATATGTATATACATATATGTATGTATATATATTTTTTGTTTCCCTTTCCGTCTTCCTTTCTTTCTTTCTTATCGAAAGCTTTCTTCCGCATGCCTCAACGGCTGCGAGAGCCATAGCATCATGGGGCGCACGTTCATGCCTTACTCTCCTTCCGACCCACCCTCCTCTGCCTTCCCTTGCATCCTTGACGGGTGTATGGTACGGGCAGGCATGGAGGACCGCGGCAGCGAGGCGCTGATACCGGTGGCGGTGCGCGCGGTGAAGGGCGGGCTGGCGGAGGGGTGGCAGGCGTGCTTTGACATCCTGGAACGCTGCTACCACGACCGCGTGCTGGACGCGCTGGTCGTCGAGTTCAGCCTCAACCGCCACTTCGTTGACTCCGCTGCCAGTCAGTGCTGTGCCGCCCCTGGGGGCGCTGAAACGTGAAATCATGTGTGGGGATTCCACTGTGGGGCTTCAAGGGAGGATTGGTGCCGGAGTTTCGTGCTGTGCTGGTGACTAGTGTTTGGGCTGCAGTCGTTCTCATCTCCATCTCCTTCTCCCTCCTCCTCTCGCACCTCCCTTTGGTACTCTTCCCTCCGCCCCTCCACTCTCTCACACTCTTCCTGTTCCCTTCTCAACCTGCACTGCACCCAGTGCTCCTCCTCCCCTCTTCCGTGCTGGTCCTTCACCACACACCGCTTTCCATTCCCCCTTGTCTACTTCTCCCATCACTCATCCCTGCCCTACTTCGCCTGCGACAGGCAGCCATATTAAAGCCGTAGTCCCACTCCCCCTTGTCCTCTCGCACCCCTCATCTCACCCGCCACTCCCCCCTCCCTCCATCCACTCTGCGCCAGGCGCAATTCTGAAGCTGGAGTCGAAGCTGGTGGGGGACGGGCGGTGGGGCAATGATGACTGGGCGACGGTGAATCGTCTCTTAGAGGGCATGAGCAAGCTGCCCCCAGACATCAGCCGCCGCGTGGTGCAGCAGCTCTGGGACCTGCGCCACTCCCACTGGGCCACCGTGTGCCCTGCACCCTGCTGTGAGGCGGGGGAGGAGCACGCGGGCATCAAGGCGATGGCGACGGTGGGGAGCTTCCTGCTGGGCATCACTCTGTTGAGTAAGATGGAGTGGCGCAGGCAGCACGACGACGAGGAGGAGAAGACGAGGAAGAAAGGCGGGCAGGGGTCAGCAGGTAGCAGCAGCAGCCCGAGCCACGCAGGCAACTCTCCATGGGCCCAGGCACCGAGCAGCAGTGTGAGGAGCAGGGCACAGCCACCATACGACAACATCCTCTGGATGCTGCGCGTGCTCAAGCTCTTCATCTCGCCGCCCTTCGATCGCCCCATCCTGCTCGTGCTCAGCAACAACACGCCCCTCCTTGAAACCCACCACCTGCACTTCCTCGACCTCTCCTCCTGCCTCGCCCTCCTCACGCTCGTCTCCGCCGCCCCGCGCCAAGACTCCCACCTGGTGGCCACTGCTGATCTCCTCGACGTCTACCTCGCAACGCAAGGCACCAAGCGCAACCCGCCGCTGAGCCCCGAGGATTTCCGTGCGCTTGTGACGCGCCTGCCGCCCGAGGCGCGGCCGACGCACGACGGGTTGTTTGAGGCGGTGTGTGCGTTCGCCGAGGCGGACCCGCGGCCCGCCACGTGGAACCTTCTGGCCCTCGTGGACTGCGGGCGCCTCACCCCGCGCTGCCTGCGCCTCGCTGCGTCGGCCGCGGCGTCCATGGAGTTTGGGCAGTCCGCTGTGGCGGGCTTCTGGCTGTTCCTCGTCTCGCTCTTGCGCGCTCTCATGTATGAAGGGTAGTGTGTGGATAAATTATGTAATGCATTAGTTGTTGTATTATGTTATTGTTAATGCAGCTTCTGGGTTTCAAATCACAAGAGCACTTGTGCAAGTGTGTTACGAGAATTGCACTATCGAAGCAAGAGTACAATGAGCGAAGGCATGAGCGAAGACTATATAGCGAAACTATAGTGGTAACGGTAACGAACTGTGGGTGACGCGCGACGGGCCTGGAACCGAGGTTTGGGAAAATGTCGAGGCGGAGGCCCGGAGCGCGGGTTACCCGCCGAGCCGTGAGGTCGGGGTGCGACGTGTGAAGGTGGCGGGAGAATTGTCGATGCGAGGGTGGTAAAGGTGCTGACTGTGGTGCTAGAGTGATGTACGCGCTGAGCAGGGGCGCGAAGTATGTGTTGGGCTGAGAAAGCCCTTAGGATCTTTGCAGAGGATGACTCTTGGGTAGAAACTTGTAATAGCGGAAGCGTTTAATGAAGATTGTGAACCGACCTTGCACTGGTGTGTGAGAGCAAAGTAGATTAAATTAAACAAGCAAATACAAGGATTTATATAAGAGTACAGGGAATACGAATAGATAGATAACTGTATTGCTGTTGCGGTTCGATATAGTGCGATTCGGGCAACTGCTCTGTAACGAGTCAGTTGTGTGTCCTTAACTGTCGCGCTGTAATTTGTCGAGTCAAAGGTCGCTGACCTTTGACTTTCTCGTAACCTCCAGGCGGTTACTCTAACCTCCGAGGTTGACTCGATGCTTCGATTGGGACTGCTTCGCTTGGTGCCTTGGATTTTGACACGACAGAAGCGCACTTAAGACTTATTGTTTCCAACACTCCCCTTCGCTTCTGGAGTGTCGCTGCTGGTGACGTGGCCTTGTCCAGTCAGCAGCATGCAGTATTCGAACTTCTGCTTCCCGAGCTTCTTGGTCAAGTAATCGGCTGCCATCTCAGACGTGGGACAGTATGACAGATCGAGTTTCCCCTTTTCGATCTCGTCCTTCACGAAGAAATAGCGCAGGGCGATGTGTTTCGTCCTGTTTGCGAAGTGTCAGATATATATGACATAGCTGCTGTAGGCTATAGTGGGGTAGCACATATGGGGTACAGCTTTCTAGGGTTTGCATTTGTACCCATCTTTCACTTAGTTTTCCCATTCCTGTTCTTTAGTTTTCACATGGTATAGAGCAGGTTCCCTGTGGGAACTTCGCCTAGGGCCCACCGAAGCGCGCCCCGAGGCGCGCGATTCTTTTTTTAGCGACCCTCCGAGTCGCCCTTCCTCTCGCGGCCCCGCCGCCCTTCAGACGCGGCCCCGCCGCCCTTACTAGCGGCCCCGCCGCCCTTACTAGCGGCCCCGCCGCCCCTTAGTCGCGGCCCCGCCCTGTCGCGGCCCCGCCCCATCGCGGCCCCGCCCTTTCGCGGCCCCGCTCTTTCTCTCGCGGCCCCGCCCTTCCCCGTCGCGGCCCTGCCCACGTCGCGGCGCCGCCCCGTCACGGCCCCGCCCCGTCGCGGCCCAGCCGCCTCGTCTCGGCCCCGCCTCGTCGCGGCCCCGCCTCGTCGCGGCCTGTTGCCCTACCCGTCGCGGCCCCGCCGCCCTGTCGCGGCCCCGCCACACCGCCGCGGCCCCGCCGCCCCTTCGCGGCCCCGCCGCCCCTTCGCGACCCCGCCGCCCCTTCGCGGCCCCGCCTCCTCTTCATCGCGGCCCGTTGCCCTACCCGTCGCGGCCCCGCCTCCCCCTCCCCCCCCCCCCCCCCCCTTTTCCCGTCGCCTGTTGAGGCGACCTGAGGGGGCCGCTTGCGGAGGCCAGCAGAGGGGTGGCAGGTGTGTGGCCTCCCCTGCTTCTCCTCCTCCTTCACCGCCCAACTGCAGCAGCCGGGCCGCTCAACTGCAGCAGCCGAGCCGCCCCGCCGCCGAGCCGCCCTGCACCCGAGCCGCCCAGCAGCCGAGCCGCCCTGCCGCCGAGCCGCCGGGTCGCCGAGCTGCTGAGCTGCAGTTGCTGCCGAGCCGCCTTGCCGCAGAGCCGCCGAGCCGCCCTGCACCCGAGCCGCCCAGCAGCCGAGCCGCCCTGCCGCCGAGCCGCCGGGTCGCCGAGCTGCTGAGCTGCAGTTGCTGCCGAGCCGCCTTGCCGCCGAGCCGCCCGAGTCGCCCGAGCCGCAGAGCCGCCGTGCTGCCGAGCCGCTGAGTCGCCGACCCTACTCTTCCCACCACTGGTGAGCTCTTGCCCTGCTAGCACGCTGCGCGTCGCCTGCTTGCCTGCCTGCCTGCCTTTTGGCTTGCCTGGCTGCCTGCCTTACTGCTGCTAGTCGTACTCCTGCTTCTACTTGCGGAGCCAGATGCAGCCCCAGCGACGTCTGCGTGAGTCCCTCACACCCCAGCAGCTGCGTGAGTGGTACGCTGGTTGGGGCTGTAGGGGTGGCGGCGCTACTACTACTACCACTCCGGCTGCTTCTACTACTGGTGGCGGCCAGATGCAGCTCCCGCGACCCTCCCGCGTGTCTCTCACGCCTCACCAGCTTCGTGAGTGGTACGCTCAGAGTAGAGGGTCTCTCAGTGCTGTTCGCTGCTCTTACGTGATTCGCACTGGTACTCGGACTGGTCAGCCTTGTGGGACACCTAGTCATACACCGTCCCGCTGCTTTGCCCGTCTGAGCGACGCCTGGCGTACCGTGTTTGGCGACGAGGCTGAGCTCCTCGACTGGGTGGAGTTGCTTAGGCAGAGGGTAGATATATTTGCTCTTGACTATGATGCTATTCTCACTGCCATGTATGCATTGCCTACTAGTGCTGACCGTGCCGGTCACCTGTGCGTACCGCCTGACCCAGGTATAGGACCTGCTGCTCTAGCTACTGGTGAGGCTGCTGCTCTGGGTGCTAGTGAGTCTCCTGCTCCAGGTACAGGTGCGGCTGCTGCTCTAGGTGCTAGTGAGTCGGCTTCCTCAGGTGCGGGTGAGGCTGCGCTCTCAGGTACCGCGTTGGCTTCGGCCTCCCTCACCTTTACACTTGACTCTGGGGCTTCTCGCTCCTTCTTTCGGGACCGCACCACACTCACGCCGCTTGGTCGGCCGGTTGCAGTCTCCCTGGCTGACCCCTCTGGGGGTCCTGTCCTCTCTCACTTTTCCACTGTCCTCCCGTGTCCGACTGCCCCCTCGGGCACCCTGTCTGGCCTGTACCTCCCCTCGTTCTCTACGAACTTGGTAAGTGGTGCAGACCTACAGGATGCGGGGGTTCACCAGTTCACTCCTGCGAGTCAGCGGGTGACCCACTGCACGGACGCACGCACAGGCCGGCACCTGGCCACGTTCTCGCGTCGACCGGGGTCGAGCCTCTACACCCTGACCACTGGGTCTCCTCCTGTCCCTGCGTCCGGTCAGGTAGCAGCGTCTGGTCAGGTGTTTGCTGCTGCGTCCAGGTCTGGTCCTGAGTCTGCCCCCTGTTCGTGTCGCCTCCTGTCTCACGAGACTCTCCTGTGGCACCACCGTCTTGGCCACCCCTCCTTGCCCCGTCTTCGGGGCATGGCTTCCCGTGTCCTTGTCTCTGGTCTTCCCCAGTCTCTCCCTCCCCTTCCTTCGGGACCAGGACCTTCCTGTGTCCCCTGTGTCGAGGGGCGCCTCCGGGCTGCTCCTCACTCCTCCCAGTTTCCCCCGACAGAGGCTCCTCTGCAGACGCTTCACATGGACGTGTGGGGCCCGGCCCCCGTCCGTGGGCAGGGTCACGAGCGCTACTTCCTGTTGGTGGTTGACGACTACTCGCGTTACACCTCAGTCTTCCCCTTGCGCAGCAAGGGTGCTGTCACTGAGGTGCTGATCGACTGGATCCGCGAGGCTCGTCTCCAGCTCAGGAGGAGCTTTGGCTCGGACTTTCCTGTTCTGCGTCTGCACTCTGACCGTGGTGGGGAGTTCTCCTCTCGCCTTCTGCGAGACTACTGTCGTGCGCAGGGGATCCGCCAGACCTTTACGCTTCCGGACTCTCCACAGCAAAATGGGATTGCTGAGCGCCGCATTGGCATGGTCATGGATGTCGCTCGTACGTCCATGATGCATGCGGCTGCCCCCCATATTCTGTGGCCGTTTGCGGTTCGGTACGCGGCGCATCAGCTCAACCTTCACCCCAGGGTCTCTCGGCCAGCGATGTCCCCAGTGTTACTGTGGACGGGGAAGGTCGGTGATGCGTCTGCGTTCCGTGTCTGGGGATCTCGGGCGTTTGTCCGCGACTTGTCTGCGGAAAAGCTGTCCCCCCGTGCTGCTCCCTGTGTCTTCCTTGGCTTCCCCCCTGACGCTCCAGGGTGGCAGTTCTACCACCCCTCCTCTCGTCGTGTTCTGTCCTCCCAGGACGTCACTTTCGACGAGTCAGTCCCCTTCTACCGCCTCTTCCCCTACCGTACTCCTTCCCTCCCCCCCCCACCGGACTTCCTGGTGCCAGTTCCCCCCCCGGTAGACCCCCTCCCCCCTCAGGTTCCTGCCCCTTCAGGTGTGTCCCAGGTAGACACAGTCGAGCCAGTCGAGGTTGCTGCTGAGTCTGGTCCTGCTGCAAGTGCTGAGCCTGTGGGTACTGCGACTGCGGGTGCAGAGTCTGGGGGTGCTACGCCTGAGGGTGCTGCTGCTGGGGGTGCTGAGCCTGGGGGTGTGAGGCCGGGGGGTGCTGAGCCGGGGGGTGCTGTGTCTGGAGCTGCTGAGCCTGGGGGTGCTGAGCCGGAGGGTGCTACGTCAGGAGCTGCTGAGCCTGGGGGTGCTGGGCCTGGAGGTGCGGAGCCTGCGACTGCTGGGCCTGGGGGCTCTCCGGTTCCTCCGTCTCGGCGGGAGCTGCTCTCTCCACAGGAGTTGCGCGAGTGGTTTGCTCGCCGCTGGAGGCGTGCTGCTGGAGCTGGAGCTTCTTGGACTGCTGAGGGTGCTGGTGCTGCCGGTCCCGGAGCTGCTGGGCCTGCGGGTCCTACTGGAGCTGGAGCTGCTGAGCCTGGGGGTGCTGAGTCTGGAGCTGCTGAGCCTGGAGGTGCTGAGTCTGGAGCTGCTGAGCCAG